AGCCCAAGCTCATTGTCACAAGTTTCAAACAAATACAATTGGGTAGAGTGACGGCAAATCGTTTAATTACAACTGTAGATTTTAATTACAATGTTTCTATGGATTTACCCGAGGTTTCGGACGGAAGGCATCGGTGTCCTCTTATCTCCGACATGTATATTTATATAAACTTCTTTTTTTGTTTGCTAAATCTGTCCCTGCTATCCTTGTTGTCCCTGCTGTCGTTACATACAACAAAATATCTCGTAGAATTCTGGTATTACCTCCTCTATCTGAAGTATTGAGATACAAAAATTGCTTTTAAAAAATTATTGTGGGGATACGTAAAAGTACCCTTCTTGTATATTGTTGACAGTGAGCAAAATATGTATATATACATCGTACATGTATAATACAGCTTTGTATACATTGTTCCCTAGGGTCATAGTTTGGTCATGTGGAGATTAGAGAATAGTTACGTATAGAGTATCTTCTTCGATATAGCTATAAGCATTGTAGCGGTTTATGCTATGTATTATACTTACGTATGTGTGCAGCAGTTACACAATTTTCAGTGGCGATTGCAGATATAGTCTCCATTTTTTGCCAAATATCTCTAGCGTTACTTATGCTTCACGGGAGAACAATCATTAAATTAACTATTTTCTGTAAAATATTGTACAATTATTACATAGTTTGAATATATTTTGCATTTACATATTTTATCCACTTTGATAGATAACATCTATATAAAAATCAGCCGCGTAATGGTGACAATTTTCGAAATGTAAAGTCGTTATTGTATTGTGGTGAAATTGAAATATTAGGTGGTCCGAAAAATTTGTTTCGTTTTATATGGAAATAATAGATGCACATCTTTCGTTTTGTATTATTCTATCGAATTACGTACGATCCATTTTGTTTTATCACGATAAAGATCACAACATTTGTGACATTAGGTTTTATGTTTGTATAAAGATGCGTTGTTGTAAAAGAGGTGACTGTAAAGGAAAGACACTTTTCGGATAACCTTATATAATCGGCGCGGAGACATTTGCGCAGCGTACAGGATTCGCTTACAGTCCAGAAGCGTAGACAATGAACAAGCAGTACGAATCTGCCTTTATTAGGGACGGTATCGTTCGACAGTCTTTCATATTCGAAACGCGGGAGTCTGAACGTGCTACGGAATATTTACCTATTTCAACGTTACAATTTTTGTGTTTACCAAGTGTTTGTGCAATTGGTAAGATGTGCTAGTTGCTAGATAAAATATAAAATCTGGTTATTCGAAAGTTGACTTGCAATTTTTTATAAAAAGGATTTATTCAGGATAAACACTTTATACCTGTTAATTTTATGAATTAAAAACTTTCTGTGGATTATTTTAATCTAATAACTTTGTTCTGTCCCTAGGATGGGTCATACGGCAACCAGATAGACTATTCCACATGTGGGAGTAAGTCGTAGAAAACAATACAGTTTTCTTATTTATTTTTCTTTTTTTCTTATTTCTATTATATTTTTCATTTATATTAACGTAAGAGTGGTGATATACATATTTATGTTTTAGTTTTAATTAAACGTATTGATTATATTTTTTTATATAAAAGTTAGGTCGTTCTTCCTATTTTATTTTCTTCCCCTAAAAAATGTTTTCATCAAATATAATGCTTATTGAGAACCAAGAATAAAGTCGATCATAGATAATGGTTACTAATTACAGAGCTTAACGTATATGTCGGAGATGAAAAGAACACCGGAGCATTTGGAATTTTGGATAATCCCGCAACATTGTAATCTAGAATCTACTATAGCTGTAATTAAACAATTGTAGTTATTTAATCCGATTGTATTTGTTCGCGAGTTGTGCTAATGAGCTTGGGCTCGAGGCGACA